TATTAAACTATTACAAAGTCCTTTTTCTGTAACGTCTCTTTGTAATATCTCCTTAAATAAAGAGTTTAGACCAAATTACAAAGTTCTTTTTCTACAGAAAAGTTACGTCTCCTTGTAATATCTCCTTAAATAAAGAGTTTAGACCAAAAGTACTTTTTTACGTAAAACTAAACACTCTATCTGATTTTGTAATAAAACATACCACATTCAGTTTAAAAAAATTAAGTGGACCTTTAAATGACCTTGAAAAACACCATATAAGGGCAATTCAAGATCATCGTATCCCCCTCGAAACCCTACAACTTTTGTCTGAAACATTTTTCTCTCAAACCTCGCGATTTCCAAATATTTAACTGTCAAATATAAAATGGGACACTCTGTATATACATTTGTTTTAGAAGGGACATCGCGATAATGCGCGGCCTTTTCAAGTGCATCACGTACTTTATTCCGAAATTGTATTGGCTCAGTCTCACGGATTGCGTCAACGAATTTGCACGTATAATGGAAGATCAAGTAATTCCACATGACTATTCTCACATTCATGCTATATAATCCGAGATAACTCTCGGTATAAATAAACTGAATCGGGATTTGAATTTCTTTGGTGATTGAGATTTGTTGGAGTTGATATAACTCCGACGAGTTTGTAAGATAAAATTAATTAAAAAAAACACACTCTCAATTGCTTTATTTGTGACAACAAAAACGAGTGATAATCCAGGCAGTAATTCGTTCCAATTGTGTCGGATTCAATTTTCGAGTAACCTGTAATAGTTTAGAAATAATGAGCAAAAACGAGCGATGGCTCGCATTTAACTGAATTGTCTAAAAACAATCGATTTTTGACATCGAAGATTGACATGCGACTGGAAGCCTCTAATCTCGCGAGATTTTCGACGAATTTCTCAAGGAGAAACGACATCGTATTCCCGTATCCTTACACGCACCTGACACGACGCAAAATACTCGTCGAGAGTTTCCACGAGGGTTCACCGATATCCAGTTATCTTGAACATGACGATGTTGCTTTACAACGAAGACTCGCCAAAATAGGAATCACAATGATCCTTAAAATGGTTAATATAACTTGAGCGATTTTCAATTATTATTATTGTTACTGTTAACGTTTTTTAAAGCGCGTAAAAATTCTTCGATTTTAAAAGAATCAATGTTGAATTTTGAACAAAATCTGATCGCAAAACTTTATAAAAAAGATTGACCCGTTTTTCTTGTAGTGGTCCATTAGATTTTCGATTGAGAGCCACTTTGGTGATAAAAATTCTTAATATTTCATAATATTTTTTTAAGAATTTGTTATTTTTTAAATTTATGACGATTTCTAAAAAATTTTTTTAATTTTAAAAATTCTTAAGTTTTCTTCAGAAATTATAGAATGAAGAATCTTAGACTATTTCAGAATTCATATATATTTAAAAATTAACGAAGTATCAAATGAAGGGCTAGTGAGCCTTGCACGAAGTTAGTGCTAAAATTACAAATATTTAACAATAATAATTATCACCCAAACGTTTCGGCTCCGCATTGAGCCTGTCTCTTAT